TGGAGGTGTCGGTGGCGGCGGTGGAGGCGGAGGCGGAGGCGGCGGTGGCGGTGGGAGCGGAGGTGGCGGAGGTGGTGGCGGAGGAGAAGGCGGAGCTAGTCGGGGTGGCGCTGCGCAGAGGGTCGGCTCCGGTGGTGGTCAGCGCCAGCAGCAGCAGCAGCAGCGCACTCGTGACATCCCCCCCCCCTCAGCAGCTCCGTTAATGGTACGCTGCACGCCAGCGGGGTGGAGGTACTGGTCCGTGCACCTACGTCCTACACACCGGCGACCGCGCGGGTGAGCAGTGCGGGGGTGCGCACTCCACCCAGCGCTGCTTTGGCCGCCTGACGGACGCTTGGCGTCACCACTTCCCTGAGGCCACTGAGATCCCTCGCTGGGGCGAGCTGTCTAGGGCGGGAGTAGCTATCTTTGACCTTGACTTTGATGCTATTCTTGCTGGCATGTATGCTGTGACTATTAGTGATGAGGGTGACTGTTACCATTGTTTTCCGCCCGACCCGGGCATTGAGACTTCTGCTCTAGGTACTGGTGAGGTTGCTGCTCTAGGTGCTAGCGAGGCTGCTGCTCTAGGTGCTGGTGCGTCTGCTCCCTCAGGTGCTGGTGAGTCTGCTCTCTCAGGTGCTGCGTCGGCTTCGGCCTCCCACACCTTCACCCTTGACTCTGGGGCTTCTTACTCCTTCTTTCGAGACCGCACCACACTCACGCCGCTTAGTCGGCCAGTTGCAGTCTCTCTGGCAGACCCCTCTGGGGGTCCTGTCCTTGCTCACTTCTCCACTGTCCTCCCGTGTCCAGCAGCCCCCTGTCTGGTCTTTACCTCCCCTTGTTCTCTACGAACTTGGTGACTGGTGCTGACCTACAGGATGCGGGTGTTCACCAGTTCACTCCTGCGAGTCAGCGGGTGACCCACTGCACGGACGCTCGGACGGGCCGACACTTGGCCACGGTTACACGTCGGTCGGGGTAGAGCCTCTACACACTGGCCACTCAGTCACCTCCAGTCACTGTGTCGGGTCAGGTAGCTGCGTCGGGTTAGGTGTTTGCTGCAGCGTCCAGGTCTGGTCTTGAGTCTGCCCCCTGCTCGTGTCGCCTCCGGTCTCACGAGACTCTCCTTTGGCACCACCGCCTTGGTCACCCCTCCCTGCTTCGTCTCCGAGGCATGGCCTCCCGTGTCCTTGTCTCTGGTCTTCCCCGGTCCCTCCCTCCCCTTCCTCCGGGGCCTGCCCCTACCTGCGTCCCCTGTGTCGAGGGGCGGCAGCGTGCTGCCCCTCACTCCTCCCAGTTTCCTCCGACAGAGGCCCCGCTGCAGACGCTTCACATGGACTTGTGGGGCCCGGCCCGCGTCCGTGGACAGGGTCACGAGCGCTACTTCCTGCTGCTGGTTGACGACTACTCGCATTACACCACAGTCTTCCCCTTGCGCAGCAAGGGTGATGTCACTGAGGTGTTGATCGACTAGATCCGCGCAGCTCGTCTCCAGCTCAGGCAGAGCTTCGGCTCGGACTTTCCTGTTCTGCGTCTGCACTCTGACAGAGGCGGAGAGTTCTCCTGGCCTTCTGCGAGCCTACAATCGTACACGAGGCATCCGCCGGACCTTCTCGCTTCCGGACTCTCCACAGCAAAATGGGATTGCTGAGCGCTGCATTGGCATGGTCATGGACGTCGCCCGTACGTCCATGTTGCATGCGGCTGCCCCCAATTTTCTGTGGCCGTTTGCGGTTCGGTACGCGGTGCATCAGATCAGCCTTCAGCCCAGGGTCTCCATGCCAGAGACCTCCCCAGCTTTGCTGTGGACGGGGAAGGTTGGCGATGGGTCTGCGTTCCGTGTCTGGGGATCTCGGGCGTTTGTCCGCGACTTGTCTGCGGACAAGCTGTCCCCTCGTGCTGCTCCTTGCGTCTTCCTTGGCTTCCCCCCTGACGCGTGAGGGTGGCAGTTCTACCACCCCACCTCTCGCCTTGTTGTGTCCTCCCAAGACGTCACGTTTGACGAGTCGGTCCCCTACTACCGTCTCTTCCCCTACCGCACTCCGTCCCTCCCCCCGCCACCGCTTTTCCTTATACCAGGTTCCCCCCTCGGTAGACCCCCTCCCCCCTCAGGGTCGTGCCCCTTCAGGTGTGTCCCAGGTAGTCGCAGCCGAGCCTGTCGAGGTTGCTGGTGACTCTGGTGCTGCTGAGGGTGCTGAGCCTGGGGTTGCTGACTCTGGGGGTTCTTAGCGTGTGGGTGCTACGCCTGGGGGTGCTGGAGTTACTGGAGCTGGAGGTGCTGCTGGCGCTGGTGCTGTCGCTAGGGGTACTGGTGCTGTCCCTGCTGTGTCTGGAGTCGCCGCGCCGCCTCGACCATACTTCGTTCCACTCCTTGAGCAGGTTCTTGGTCTCCCACCTTCTACTGGTCCTACTCCTCACTTAGAGTGTCCTGGGCCTGTCCCATCACAGTAACAGTTACAGTCGGCCTCCCCATTGCCTGCTCCTTCTCCCTACATTGGTCCTACTGGAGGTCTTGCTGAGCGTCGTGAGCGTGCGTCTCGCCCTGCGTTGCCTGTCCGTGCTGCTCGCGCTAGTGGTCGTGGTTCGCGTCAGCGTCCTCCTCCTGTCCCTGGCACGCACCGGATGTCTCTACGTACGTCCGCTGCTCCTCTGCGTGCCCCTTTGCCTTCTCCTCCTGAGTCCTCTCTTCCTGCTCTTGCCGACCCGGAGTCGGACTCTCTTCGTGCTGCCATTCCTACTGTCACGTGTCTCCTTGCTATAGTTTTCACTGACCCTTCCTTTGAGTCCACTGCTGCGTCTGCCCTAGTTGTTGAGCTTGTTGACTTTGCTGCTCACTATCGCCTAGACTACGCTGCTAGTCTTGTTGCTGAGTCTGAGTCTGTCTGTCCTCCGTCCGTCGCGGGTGAGTGTGCCCTTGGCACGGACGTCCTTGAGGACAGGCAGGAGGAGTTCCAGTGTCTGGCTGCTGCTTCACCTCATCTCGTGTCCGTACTGCTTACCCCTGAGGGAGACCCGGATGCACTTGACATCCCGACTCCGCGCTCTTATGTGGAGGCGATAGAGGGTCCCTACTCCTCTCAGTGGCACGCAGCTATGGACGCAGAGATGGCTTCCTAGAAGTCCACAGGCACCTACGTTGACGAGGTTCCCCCGCCTGGGGCGAACATCGTCAGTGGCATGTGGATTTTCAGGGTGAAGCGGCCGCCGGGCTCTCCGCCTGTCTTCACGGCGCGTTACGTGGCTCGTGGCTTCAGTCAGCGGCAGGGAGTTGACTACTTTCAGACCTTCTCTCCCACCCCGAAGATGACCACTCTTTGGGTACTGCTGCACATAGCTGCTCACCGTGACTACGAGCTACACTCTCTTGACTTCAGCACTGCTTTCTTGCAGGGTAGCCTGCACGAGGAGATCTGGCTGCGCCGCCCACTTGGCTTCACTGGGACTTTTCCTCTTGGCACCCAGTGGAGCCTCCGGCGGCCAGTCTACGGTCTCCGCTAGGCACCGCGTGAGTGGCACGACACACTGAGGACTACACTTGCGGCTCTTGGCTTTGCTCCCTCTACTGCCGACCCGTCGCTGTTTCTGCACACCGACACTTCTTTGCCGCCGTTCTACATCCTCGTGTACGTCGACGACTTGGTCTTTGCCACAGCTGACAGTGCTGGACTCGCCCACGTGAAGTCCGAGCTGCAGAAGAGACACACGTGCACAGACCTGGGTGAACTGCGCAGCTACCTTGGCTTGTAGATCACCCGGGACAGAGCACAGCGCACCATTACCCTGACTCAGTCACACATGGTGCAGCAGGTCCTTCAGCGCTTCGGCTTCACGTACTCCTCGCCTCAGGCCACTCCTCTGCCTACTCGCCACTCGCTCTCAGCTCTGCCTTTGGATGAGTCCGTAGAGTCGAGTGGCCCGTACCCAGAGGTAGTTGGCTGCCTCATGTACCTGATGACCTGCACACGACCTGACCTTGCATACCCTCTTAGCATTCTCGCACGCTATGTTGCTCCTGGGAGACACAGACCAGAGCACATGGCTGCAGCGAAGAGGGTGTTGCGCTACTTGTGCAGTACGTCGGGCATGGGGCTTGTGCTTGGAGGGCAGAGTCCAGTGGTCCTCACTAGGCACGCAGACGCTTCTTGGGCTGACGACCAGGCTACGCAGCGGTCGTCACAGGGTTACACCTTCAGCCTTGGTTGCGGCTCTGTCTCGTGGCGGGCTACCCGCTCGTCCTCTGTTCTCGGCTCCAGCTGTGAGGCTGAAATCTACGCAGGAGCCATGGCTGCACAGGAGCTTCGTTGGCTCACCTATCTGCTGACTGACCTCGGAGAGCCGCCTTGTTCTCCTCCAGTGCTGTACGTAGACAACAAGGCCATGCTGGCCTTGTGTCGGGAGCAGAGATTGGAGCACAGAATGAAGCACATTGCTCTTCGCTACTTCCTTGCTCGTGAGCTACAGCAGCGTGGTCAGCTGCGTCTTGCGTACGTGGCCTCTGAGGCCAACACTGCTGATATCTTCACCAAGGCACTTGCGCCTTGTGACCATCAGCGCTTCTGTACTCAGCTGGGTCTTGTGCCTGCCTTGCCTCACTTGCTCACCCTTTCCCCTTGTTTGTACTGTTACATATATATATATTCACGTGCTCTTGCTTGTGTAGCCTTATATATATATATGTAATCCTGCATGTGAACTGGCCTTGTGGCCTTGAACTTGTGCTTGGAATGTGTGGTGACTTTGTGATCCACCCTGAGCTTGGTTTGCTTTGCTTGACTGGTCTTGTGACCCCTTGTTCTCCCCCACTTTGCCTATGGGGGTGTGTCAGATTTATATGACATAGCTGCTGTAGGCTACAGTGGGGTAGAACATATGGGGTATAGCTTTCTAGGGTTTGCACTTGTACCCAACTTTCACTTAGTCATTTCATTCTCGTTCATTTTCTCAAGGGGCATTTCAAATGATGCTTCAATACACAGTAATGTGCACAAAAATGCATGTAGATAAGAGATTGACATGATTTACTCCTCTTCACTGTCTTCATCTGAACCATCCTCCTCCACAAACATTGGTCGATGATTTGGATTCCTCTCCAAAGGAGGCAATCCATCGTCCTCCTCATCGTCACCTTCCTCTTCCTCTCCCACACCCTCTTCCTTCTCCTGCCCATCTCCTCTTGTCCTTTGCGTTGACTCCTCTCTCCCCTCCTCTGCACCACCTCGGGAACTCCGCAAACCCTGCCCTTCCTCTCCAGCTGAGCTGCGCTCTGCACCTTGCTTTTGCGGCTCCTGTTGGCTTTGCTCCAGTGGGGCTGCTGCTGATGCTCCGGCTCTTTCTTTGACCACTGCCTCTGCAAATGCCTCTGGCCTGCCATTTGAATAATGGGTATACCAAAGAGAGAAATGGATAAAACAGGGAGGTTTCTTTGAGTTGACTCGAAAGACATATGCTCCCGTGGGGCTGCTACTCATGCTCCGGCTCTTTCCTTCACCACTGCCTCTGCAAATGCCTCTGGCCTGCAGTTTGAAAGTAGATGTAGAAAGCATTACACCAAGAACAAACGGCGTTGCATCAATACACACATGGACGAAAAATGAGAAAAGACAAGCAACAGGCCGTCGCTCTTTGCGAACCACTTATTGGAGATTTGAAAACATTTCAAAGTGGCGGTCAGAGAGAACTGCCCTATGGTGCCTTGTAGTCTCCTTTTGAATGTAATGGAAAGCGGCCCTACGAACCATTGATTGGAGGCTACAAGCTCCTTAATGTGATGATCAAACAGCACAGCCGTTATGCTGCCTCTCACTCTCCCTCCCGCCTTATCCACCTCCTCTGCTGCACTCACGTCTGCCACCACAAAACTGCCTGGTGGGCGGGGGGTGGTGTGGGAAAGGGCGAGACCGATAAGGCAAAACGTGATGATGCGGTGTAGCGAGTAGGGGATATTACTTGCCAGTCAGGAGAACATGGGGGCTCATTGAGAAGAATAACGAAATCTCTCAACTAGATCTCTCAAAATTTGCAACATTTTTTTTCGACATTTGCCGCTCTGGTGAGTCTAATGGGAAGAGAATGGCAGAACAGAATCACAGTCCAAGCGGCCATTTACCATCGTGTTCTGAGTCGACTCAAAACACCACAGAATGTGAGAACGGAATCATGGTTAAGAGTGGGTGGGCCCACACTCGGCCACGAACAGGGCTGCGCGAAAGGTGCAGCTTTTTTTGGCGCATAAGAAACAGATTCAAATAGATGCTACCTACTGCTCACACCTCTCTAGAGTCGCTACCACCTCTTGAGAGAGTCGAACCGTGCCCATGCCCATGCCATCACCCATGCCCACCTTGCTTCGTCATCTTACACACACCTTTTTGACCAGTTTACACCTTGCTTGACCCACTCTCACCTTGCTTGAGCCACTCTCACCTTGCTCAACCCACTCTCACCTCGCTCAACCCACTCTCACCTCGCTCAACCCACTCTCACCTCTCTTGAGCCACAGCATGCGGTGGAACTTGGCGGGCAGCATGCACAGCATGGCCGTGCCACTACCGTCCTCCAGCTGAGGAGGCAGAGGGGGAGAGAGAAGGGGGGCGAGGGGAGAGAGCAGCAGATAAAGAGGCAGGAGGAGAGTGCAGGGGAGGGGAGAAGGGGGGGAGTAGAGAGGAGGGGAAAGCGCAAGGGAGGCGTTGAGGAGAGAGAAAATAAGAAAAGCACAAAAATTCATCTGACCTCAAAGAGGTTGCTGTCTCAAAGAGGTTGCTGCCTCTGAACTGCACCCCGCCTTCCACTCCCCCCCTCCCTCGCACCCCCTCTTCCCGGCCCCCCAAACCCCTCGTCTCCCCTTTCCACCCAAGAAGACCAACTCAAGTCACCTCAATGGGGTTGCTCCACCTCAATGGGGTTGCTCCACCTCTATGGGGTTGCTCCACCTCAATGGGGTTGCTCCACCTCTATGGGGTTGCTCCACCTCAATGGGGTTGCTCCACCTCAATGGGGTTGCTCCACCTCAATGGGGTTGCTCCACCTCAATGGGGTTGCTCCACCTCAATGGGGTTGCTCCACCTCAATGGGGTTGCTCCACCTCAATGGGGTTGCTCCACCTCAATGGGGTTGCTCCACCTCAATGGGGTTGCTCCACCTCAATGGGGTTGCTCCACCTCAATGGGGTTGCTCCACCTCAATGGGGTTGCTCCACCTCAATGGGGTTGCTCCACCTCAATGGGGTTGCTCCACCTCAATGGGGTTGCTCCACCTCAATGGGGTTGCTCCACCTGAATGCACACTGCCTCCTCCCCCACTCCGTACTCCCCCCTTTTGCCCCCCCCTCTCCCACACTACCACCTCATGTCACCTCGATGAGGTTGCTGCCGTGGGAAGCCACAACGCGCACAATCTGCTCGCCCTCCCCCACACTCACACGCTCGCCCTCCCCCACGCTCACACGCTCGCCCTCCCCCTCACTCACACGCTCGCCCTCCCCCACGCTCACACGCTCGCCCTCCCCCACGCTCACACGCTCGCCCTCCCCCACACTCACACGCTCGCCCAGTGCACCCGCCTTCTGAGGCGCCTCTACAGTCAACACACCTCGATGAGGTTGCTGCCCCCGGGGGCCACAACGCACAGAATCTGCTCTCCCTCCCCCACGGTCACTCCTCCACTCCTCCACGATAACTCCTCCACTCCTCCACCCCTCCCTCCTCCCCCCACCCACCCCCCTCCCCCCTCACCTCGATGAGGTTGCTGCCGCAGGGGGCCACGACGCGCAGAATCTGCTCGCCCTCGCCCACACTCACACGCTCGCCCAGCGCACTCGCCTTCACATGCTTCCGCGCCCGCGTCATGGCGATGGGGTGATGGCAGGCAGCTGGTTAGGAGGGGGGTGGCGAGGGTGATGGGCGGTGATGGGCGGTGATGGGCGGTGATGGGCGGTGATGCGAGGTGTTGGGAAAAGAAAAGCGGGAAGGCATGGGAACGGGATAGGGTGTGGGGGGGGGAGGGAGGAGGGGAAGGGTGGTTGGAAAGGCGCGACGAATGAGTGAACGCGGCGAGGAAGAGAGCACAAAGGCGAAGCAGGAGGAAGAGAGCAGGGACAGAGTCAGCGGGAGAATTCAGAGAGAAGGGCGCAGGCGGGGAAAGGAGATACGGAATCAGTCGACAATGAAGAAGGGGAATGGGGAAGCAAGCATGCCAACGGGAAGGGACAAGAGGGACAAGGTGCGAGGGGTCGGAGGGGTTTAAGCAACCAAACTGCCACGGGTGTAGGGGTATAACAACCAAGCCTCATGAGAGCCCATGGGTGTATGGGTACAAGCTTCCGCGTTTCGACGTCCCAACGCGACGAATTTAAAGCGGTCTAATGAGCCTACGGGTCAAAAGCAGTCGATTTGTATGAATAGCGTCACGGAACCAAAATAACCGAAGCTATTCATTCGTTACTCACGAAAGACAGTTTTTAGCACTGATGCATCACAATCCACTGAGGCGGTAAGCCGCAAACCCCCCGTCTCTCACTTTTCCGTCGGCTTATTTTGGGAATGGGGCAAGGAATCGCGCCGCCAGACTACAGCCTCACCCTCTCCTGTCGTTCACCCTAATCCCATGAAAACAACCCTAACATTCTCCTCGCGCTCGCGAAATGCGCTTCAGTAACAACCTCCGCGTGTCCGCCGCTACTACGGGTGTTCGGTGATGGTACTCACCACGGCAAGTGATCGAGACTGTGCCAACGATTCACCACGGCAGTGACCTCCGCTAGGTCTCCACTTCAACGACAGTCGATAATAGCGAGGGCAATGCCAAAACGTCGAACACCCTCGGATGGTGTGACAATAGCGGAATGTCGTCGGTTGAGGGAGCTTGCCGCCAGGATGCACTGATGTAGCAACACCGCTTTTCCCAGCTTTTCCAGAATCCAAGGTTGGAGCGCGAGTGAAGTGAGGCGTTCACGACTGCAGATTCGTTCGCGAACCCCGAAATTGAACCACTCGGGAACAGCGACGTACAGCGAATTCATCCTCGCTAATGCGTAAGTTTCGACCCGTCTCGTCTGTGAAGGCTGACACGTCACTGCATCGTATTATTGCACCGTTCTGTGATTCAAAGTTAGCAACAATCACGTCTCGAACCGATCTGGAACGCACAAGCGGGTCATCTCATCAGGGTTCGATGTAAGTACTGTAACTTCATTGTTTTTTTCGAGCTATGGATCACGATTGCGGATGACCCATACGAGACTTCTCACAAACGCGTCCTTAGTAGGTATTTAGGGCGCGCGCTGCGCCCGCTCACCGTATCGCATTGTAACGAGGCTCGATCTAACGAGGCCGAGTAGCGCCACGGACGACGTAGCAACAGCTCACTTCGGCGCCTCAGAGGAATCTCCGCATCGCCATTAAAAAAAAAAATCTTTCACGCCTTTGTAGAGCATCTTCGCACATTCTTATCGCAATCATCATGACGACGACGACGAGCATCACGCGAGCCGTGCCGCTCGCGCAGCGTCCGTTCGACGCATTCTTCGTGCTCTTCTTCGCCGTCCACGTGCTCACTGCCGTTCTCATCGACGCGCAGATGCTGCTGCCACGTGCCCTCTTCCCAGAGGCGTTACGCCGCGCTGTGACGTGGCACGTCGAGACCTCAGGGGACTTCCTCGTTGGTGAGATTAGATACCTAAATTTCTCTCGTTTTGAACCTGCATATAGAAAACGCCGCGCGCATAGAGAACACGCTACGGCCTTGTGTCAAATGTGATTCGCACGTGCTGTGACTTCGTGGCAAGTGGACCTCGGGGAGGATCTTATCTGTTATAAGCTTCCTCGTCGTAAGCTTCGTTGAAACTAGGCTGCTATACTGTGTTCCCATACTGCACTTGAAGGCCTTATAGGAATTCCCAAGTCGATTAGCGAGCTCACCCCCTCCCTCTCTGAAGGGTTTAGTAAACTCCGTGAGAGGCGGAAAATACCTGAGCACGAAAATCCGGCCATCTCCTTCCACCCGTGTTGCAAACTCGCCCCAGCCGTGGCTCCTTCTCTTGTTTCCTTTGACCTGCTGCTGCCATTCCCCTTCAATACACCGTTCTTCCCCTCTTCTGCTCCCACCCACCTCACACGCTCGCCCCAGGGTTTTGGCTCCTTTTCCTCATCTGCTCCCAGCTGCTGCTGCCATTCCCCCTCAATGCATCGCTTATTCCCCCTCAGCCATGGTTCCTTTCCCTCGTCATCTCCCAGTTCCTTCCTCCTGCATGTCCCCTTATTTCTTTTGAGGCGCCTCAGGACTAGTGCACCCTGGTCACTTCAATGCACCGTTTATCCCTTCTTCTACTTATCCCCTCCCCTCCTCTCCATCCCGTTCCCCCTCACAGGCTCGCCCCAGCCGTGGTTCCTCTCCCTCGTCATCTCTCAGTTCCTGCTACACGTCCCCTTCTTCCTCGTAGCTATTTACGCCTTCTGCACTGGTAGGCTGTGCTGTTCGCCTTGTGATGCTCGCCCCCCCACCCCTGGCTCCTCTCTTTCCTAGCTTGTGAGTTGCTGTTACTGCATATCCCCTTCTTATTCGCCCCGTCTTCTGCACTGATGGATCATACTGCTTTATGTCTCATTCCACACGTGCCCCATGTCCCATGTCGATTTCTCATCAACGTCTTATGGCCACATGCCTCATGCCTCATCCCGCATGTCTCATGTCTCATCACCCATGCGTCCGCATTGATCTCCATCTCACCGCACTCAGGCAGGGAGTGGATCCGCGTGCCGGCTATTGCCTACTCTGGTCATGCTATCATGTCTTGTGGCACATGCCATGCCACATGCCCCATCCCACATGCCCCATCCCACATGCCCCATCCCACATGCCCCATCCCACATGCCCCACCCCACATGTCTCATCCCTCGTGCCTGCTATATGCCCATCGTCTCTGATCTCCATCTCACCGCACTCAGGCAGGGAGTGGATCCGCGTGCCGGCTATTGCCTACTCTGGCCATGCCATCACCAACATGGTCAGTCCATCGACAGTCAACATCCGCGTTCTCGAAATCATTCTGTAGAATTCTTGAAAGCGATGCCAATTCACAGCTGCCTTGTGTCCATTCACAGCGTTCTGCTGTCCTCTCTCGAACGGTCCCACCATCCCACTGCATTCCAGACGCATCCTGCTGTTACTCATATAGTGCTTACCACCATGCACTGTGCTCCTCTCCTGCATTCCAGACGCATCCTGTTTTCAAAAACACCCTGCACCATAGTGCATACCACCTTGCACTGTGCTCCTCTCCTTGTGCCGCCCGTGCGGCCTGTAAGGGCCCGTTGCTGCCAGGGCCCTTGCATGGCCCTCATGCCCCTCGCTCGCATAACCCCCATGCCCCGCATCATACCCCCATGCTTCCCCATAACCCCCATGCCCCGCATCATACCCCCATGCCCCGCATCATACCCCCATGCTTCCCCATAACCTCCATGCCCCGCATCGTACCCCCATGCTCCCCCATAACCCCCATGCCCCTCGTCATACCCCTCATGCTTCCCCATGACCCCCATGCCCCTCATCTCCCTCATGACCATACTATGCTCATCTCCCTCCCCATTATCAAGTCTGCGTAAGGGACCTGCCATGTCCCTTGCCACGCCCTCCTGGCCCACTGCCACCTCCTGCTCCACCGCCCCTTCCTGTGCCCTCTGCCACCTCCTGCTCCACCGCCCCTTCCTGTGCCCTCTGCCACCTCCTGCTCCACCGCCCCTTCCTGTGCCCACTGCCACCTCCTGCTCCACCGCCCCTTCCTGTGCCCTCTGCCACCTCCTGCTCCACCGCCCCTTCCTGTGCCCTCTGCCACCTCCTGCTCCACCGCCCCTTCCTGTGCCCTCTGCCACCCTCTCACAAGCACGTCCTCATTCTCTTTGTAATCGCAGTGTGTTCATCTCTCTCCCATTAGAATATAGTACCTCCACTCCACCCTCCTTCCCCACCCCTGCAGATCCCCATGTTCTTTGAGATCGCAATGTTCCTATCTCTCCCACATTTAGATATAGAACCTCCACTTCCCTTTCCCACCCATGCAGATCCCCATTCTCTCGGAGATCGCACTGAACCCGAAACCCCTGGTCCACCCGTCAGTAGCTGCTGGCCATCTACCTCCCCTCCTCGCACTCCCGTGCCTGCTGCTCTCCATTGCCTCCCTGTTCTCATCTCCTTCTTCTGCTGCTCCCTATTGCCTTTCCTCTTTATCGCCCGCTTCCTCATTCCTGCAGATTCCCATTCTCTCCGAGATCGCACTGAGCTCATCCCCCTGGTCCACGCGTCAGAAGCTGCTGGCCGTCTACCTGCCCTTCCTCGCAGTGCCCTGCCTGCTGCTCGCCAGAGTCACGCTGCCTTCGTCTCTCTTCCATAAGAAATTCGTGCATGCCAAGAAAAGGTTGTGATACGGGATTCATCCAGACCTCCAGATATCAAGGGTTTTTCAGCGTGGTTTCGAGTAGATCCAGACTTCCACTGATAATTATTTTCAGGCTGTCTGTCCCTGATGACTTGTCCATTTGTTTTGGCTCCTACTGTGTGGGCTGTAGTGATTTTAGAGACTTGTTTTGGTGGCTCTTTAAGTGACTCATTTGGGTCACAACTCCATGAAGCTAAATTCCCCCCATTTTAGTACTATCCTTCCGTTGACATATAAAGAGTCACTTGTGGATGTTTCCTAATATTGAAGCTTATGCAAGTCCTATACATAGAAAACAGGATGGCACCACACTTTTCTAGGTATAGGTACATCCCTTTGGGCTATAGAGAGTATAGCCATTATTCTCGTGCTCTCCTCGTCGATCCCTAGATCACTGACAAGCCGCTACTCTTGAATGAGATCGTACTTGCAGCTGTCACAAGTACGTTTCTCGTGCTCAAAATCGCGATATCACTTTTAGTTTCGCGACACACTGTCTTGCGAGCTTTTGCGAGGTTATCCGTGAAAGTCCCTGAGGCTAGAGGTGCTTGAAGGCCTGGTGGTAACCATTGGTCGCAGTGGTGTCCGTTTGAAACGGAGGGAAATGGCAGGCATGGGGCGAGGCGCCACGAATTCGCACGAAACTGGAAAACCAGAGAGAGCCGCCTCGGGAATTCCGCACGTAATGATGACCTCGATTTATCCCGCCAGTTTTGTCTGACGCGGCGTGCCAGCAACGCACACCGACTATGACACTCCAACTCGCAGTCACCTCCGAAGGTACGAAATACTACAACGGGCAGGATGGGAAATGATGACGTGGCTGGTTCATTAGCGCTTGTTCCTCTGCCCTGAATTTCCGTAGAAATCGTTCCTGCCCTACCCGAAATTCACAGTTCGGTTCGGGATGCCATGCCGAGAGCCTTTCCCTCTATGGGGAATCACATAGCCTCGCCTCTCCTCCCCTCTGCTGGACTCCTCCAGCTCCAAACGATTACATATGGAGCAAATCACAGTCGTTCATTCAAGTTACGTGCTCTGATTCTCTAGCTCAAGCTTACTTCTTGGTATTCGAGACCTACCCGTTCACTGAATCGCCGTCCTCCCGCTTCCTAAGAGCAATCTCGATGGCAAATCTGTTTCTGATGGCTTCCAGCACGGCTGTTGGCGCTACAAGCAACAGCAGTAGCACCAGCGATAGCAGCAGGAAGGACAGACGGCCGAACACCGACACCAGGAGGATCCGAACGACCAAGAAAGGCTTCAGCCCGTTCTTTGCCGCGTATAGGATCGGCAGATTTGACGAGGAACTGAAGAAGGTCCAGCAGAGGTCCTTCGGTGGGCCTCCTGGCTTCTCCCCGCTGCGTCCAGCTGCTGTGAATTCTGTGGTGAAAGCTGCTGCTCATGTCGCCTGTGATCTGCCAAAGAGGCAGCAACAGGCGACACAGCAGAAGAAAAAGCAACGATCACTGAAATTGGTTTCGCTGGCTGCGATTTCAAGCATGCCATCGAAGATCCCAAGGCCTGCATGCTCAAGAACGTCCGTGAAGGTCCCTGAGGCGAATTCTACAAGCAGCACCAGATCAGCAAGAGTTACTGAAACTGGAAGCTCCTTGGCAGAAACTGGGTTATCAAAGCTGCAACAAATGAAGGTGATGTTTGAAATTTCCAGATTGACCAAGACGAAAATATCAGCGCCTGGTGCTGCTGTTGCAGCATGAGCTACGAAAAAAGGAAGAAAGGCGAAGCTGGCTGATGACTTTTTGTTGACAGCAAGTTGTTTCTGTGATGACTAGCACTAAGGTGGTGCTGGCACAGAGACAACAGTAGCATACCATATCAGATGTTTCTGTGTTCTGAATTATTCTAGATACCTAACTGGTAGTTTAGTCACTTGTACATAATACTCCTGTACAGTATGTTACTGCACGTTTTTGTCCTGAAGGGTGGTGAAGGTGGTGAAGGATTTTAATGAAGTCACGATTTTGCATAAATATGTGCATGTGGAAACATAATCAGCACTTGTCTGTTTGGTGTGTCCACTGCATTCCTCCTTCCATCATTTTTCTGTTTCCCATCATTTTTACTGTCTTCGCTGCTCTCCCTCCTTCAAGCCTTAGATTGCAATGGTTATTGTGGGTTTCCAAACTGATTCCAATGACCCACTCTCCAATCAGTCACTAATTCCAGTCTATACCCATTTCAGTTACTCACTCTATTCACTGATTCCAGTGATTTGTCAAAGTGACACATTCAGTCATTGAGTTGAGTGCAGTGACTGAAATAACTCATTTTGTTTACTTCGCCCAGTAAGTAGTTGACTTGAAACCAGTGTCTCAGTGACTCATTCCAGCTTCAGTGACTTATTCAGTCACTGAGATTCCAAAGACTAGCTTTAGTCTCTCAATCTACTAACTGATTTCATTCCTTGTTCCAGTGGCAGACTCATTCCAGTGACTCATTCCACTGACTGACGGCAACCTGTTTTCAGTGACTCATTCCAGTCACTGAACATCATCAATAATTGCAATGGCACATTCCAGTAACTGGATTTAGCCAGTTTTTCCACTGACGCATTCCAACCACGACTCACGATTTGGCTTGTTTCACTAACTCATTCCAGTCACTGGTTTCAGTGACTGTTCCAGGGGCTCGTCACTGACTAAGGTGGCTTAGTTCAATGACTCATTCCAGTCATTGAATGTTATTGACTTATTCAGTGACTTATTTACTGACGAGTTCCAGTTACTGACTTAAGTGGCCTGTTTAAGTGACACCTTTGGTTCAGACGCTATTTTTGTGTACCTACTGTGGTTACTCGTTTCAAAACTTGATTTTAGTGACATGATTAGGTGACATATTCAGTCATTGTGTGCCGTAAATTCTTCTAGCGACTTATTCCTGTCACCGACTTCAGTGACCTGTTTCAGTCCTTTGGATCAGTCACTATTTCCATCTACAGTCTTACTCATTCCAAAAACGGATTCCAGTGACACATTCAGTCATTGAGTGCTGTGAATTCTTTCAGCGACACATTCTAGTCACTAAGAGTTTCAGTGACATTTTCAGTCACTTATTCTCCTTCTGTGGCGTAGTGACGCAGACTGTTTCAGTTACTCAATCCGCATCATTCGCATGGTTCAGTGACTACTTCAAATCACTAATTTCCGTGACTTGTTTTAGAAATTCCTATCAGTGGCTCCAGTGGCTTTGTTTCAGTGGCTCATTTTAGTCGTTGATTCTCATAACTCGTTCTACATGCTAGCTTATTTCAGTCATTGGATCTCGTTGACTTCTTTCCTTTCAGTGACTGATGTCAGCCGCCGGTTTCCATGATTTGTTTTACATGCTAGCTGATTCCAGTCATTGGATGTCATTGACTTGTTTCAGTGACCCATTTTCAGTCACCAATTCCCATGACTCGTTTTACATACTAGCTGATTCCAGTCCCTTGATAACATGGACTTGTTTTGGTGATCCACTTCATTTATCGATTCCCATGACTCGTTTTATATGCCAGCTGATTCCAGTCATGGCTTGTTTTGGTGACTCGTTTCAGTTGCCGATTCCCATGAGGCGTTTTTCATGCTAGCTGATTCCAGTTATTGGATGCCATTGACTTGTTTCGGTGACTCATGGTAACTCTGACTCCAGCTGCGACTTGCTTCAGTCACTAACCCTACTTTCTCCATCTCAATTCTTTGCTCCAAGCAGTGTTGTGGTGGTAAAGTATGAGTGCAGCAAAGGAGGCGGATAAGGCGGGCTGAGTGAGAGACAACATAGCACTTCGACGACCACATCAAACAACATGTAACCTTTGTCCAGATCTTTGCTACAAGCTAAACCTCTCTGTTCTTGCTTAGTTCTTCCCTGGCTTTCTATAGCAAGCAATCAGTTCACCAACTGAACTATATCCCTGCAATCGGATCTATATTCCCTGCATCAACCAAATTCGCTTCAGGTGAAGAATCCACCGGTTCTCTAGTTTGTGTTTGTTCAATCCAATCCGCTTGGTGTTCTGTTTTCTCTACTTGTCCAAGTATTGTTTCCTTTCCCACTCCCTCCTTACCCCTGCCCTCAGCTTAGCAGAATTTGAAAACAAATGGCAGAGCCACAACAGTCACATTTCTGTCCGAGGATAATCAACAACAGAAGCAGCGTGGTAGGGAAGTCTCAACTGCAGGAGAAGCGTGTGGTTTGTGGAATTCCCAAGGACGTGCATTGAATGGAGCGGAGGAGCAACGGCACCGTACAGCGAGACGAGGATGATGATTGCGAGAGATCCAACTAATATTGAGGATGTCTCAGCTGGAATGAAAGTGGCATTTGCAGATGGACCGGTCTAGCATGAAAAGGTGAAGCAGAGAGCTGAGGGAAGGCAACTCACAAGGTGTCCCCTCAGTTTGCCTAAGGCTGTAGTGCGGGAGAAATTTTGTGACATATGAATATCTAGATTATTTGTGTACACCCTTTCAGCATACTCATGCAAAAAATTGTACAAATATGGTAGGAGTTGGCAATGCATTGACAAATCAATGGGATTCTTCTTATAAAGTGG